TGAGCAAATAATCTAAAACCTGAACGATATGACAGGCAGCAAACTTTTTGGCAACAGCAGAGTGAAAGACTGTACACATAAAACAGATTGTGATGCTAGACAAAGACTGCTTTCAGGAAAAGTTTTATAAGCTCAAGTGGGAAAAACGCAGCGAAGAAAAGCGGTGAGATGCGGAATTTAATAAACGCAAGCAAAGTAAATTCAAAGACAAACGTACCTTTCGCGAAAGCTTCTGTGCTTGAAGAAGAAAACAATTCAGTCAGTGGTGGTCTGGAAAACGAACTGTTCGCGCCAGATGAATCCGAAGAAAAACGACTGGTTGCAAGAGACCTCACTGAGTCTGTTGGCGTGTGAAAGAGAAGACAAAGCAAAGCTGGTGGAGCTGGTGCGATTAGATTGATGGCTGGTGGGAGAGTGTGCTGGCGAGAGACAATCGAGAGTGGCTGAACCGAATTGGACGCCGGAGGATCTTTATCAAGCAGAGGAGGTCTTTCCCTGTGGCACATGCGCTAAATGAAAATGAAAATGCAACTGCTGAACACAGAGTGATAGGGATGACGAAGAAGAAGAAGAGGTGGAGGAGATTGAGGAAGATTCTTTGGCTACTTTGGGGTAGATTGAGCGAGGTTGCTTGTGCGGTCTTTGAAAGATTGCAGTCCAAGATATAAACTACTAGGGGCTTCTTTTTGGGGAAACCTTTGGCCTTTTTGTTTGTCTTTGCAGTGTGAGGTATGTCAAGTTTCAAGCGTCAGAAACGTTTTTGGACTGGTCGTGATGACTCAAAAGTATTTTCACTCTCGAGTGTTGATGACTTGATGACTTCAACGGCGACTCTCGTGTTGCACTTGTGTGCTGCTCTGTCGCTGTCGCTCTGATGCTCAGCATCCCCCAGTGCTCAAAAGTGCTGCGAATAGTGCTGCTTCAACTACCACTACCACCACCGCAACTTCGAGAGTCAGTTGGAGAGTACTGTGCTGTGTAGTGCTTGAAGCTAACCGTACTGCGGAGGCTTGGCGCTACTTGCTGACAGCAGAGAGAGAGAGAAAGGTTACGGGCTGATGAACAAAACGAGTTTCGAGTTTTATAAGACTTCAACCCAGACACTGACTGACTACTAAATGTTTGCTTCGTGTCCACTGACACTGGATGTGCACTTGTTGGTGGTTGGCCGAAGAGAGGGAAGCGAAAAAAGCCGATGATGGCAGAATAAACAGAAGAAAACGAAGGCAAAGAAAACGACGGAGGAGATTNGACACTGACTGACTACTTAATGTTTGCTTCGTGTCCACTGACACTGGATGTGCACTTGTTGGTGGTTGGCCGAAGAGAGGGGAGCGAAAAAAGCCGATGATGGCAGAATAAACAGAAGAAAACGACGGAGGAGATTTCAGGGGCGGGACTGACTTTTAGTTTAGCCAAACGACTTACTTCTGACGATCACATAAACAGATGNGAATAAACAGAAGAAAACGAAGGCAAAGAAAACGACGGAGGAGATTTCAGGGGCGGGACTGACTGGCGAGTTTAGCCAAACGACTTACATCTGACGATCACAAAAACAGATGTGTGCAGACTTCAGATTTGACTTGTGAGTGCCAGAGCAGTGCCCGGACCAGGCCAGAGGAATCGACGTGTTTCGGTTTGTTTATTCACCGCCGTACACGTCATCTCTGTATGGGAATTCGAGTCGAGATTCAGTCGGTCTTCTGTCATCTGTCACTTTTTCAACGCCGGCTTTTACTTTTTTGGCTGTGGCTAAAGCTGTTCTCCCATCTTACTCTTTTACTAGGTTTCTACACTAGTTGAGATTCACCGTACTCATTCAAAATGGTCGCCACCAAACCGGAACTGACCACTGACAAGCAGATTCTCTACCTGGTGCAGTGGTTTGCCGAGTTTAGCGAGTTTCAACGCGGCGACTTCCTCGCCGATCATATGCTCCCCATGTTTGGCCCGTTTTTGGCAAAGAAAATTTTGGTTTCCAGCGATTCTGAAACCAATGGACTGTCGGAGGAAGATAAAGTGACCAATGGAGTTAAAGAGATTGGTATGCCGCTTCTATTTTCATTAACATTGGCACTTTGTTTATGTTAGTTTCTTATGACAGATCTCAACAACTCGGATCCTCGCCCTCCGTCAATCTTCCAGTGTCGAATGAAGCTTTTTACCGAATGGTACCGCTCTTGGTCGGAATCTGATCGCATTGAGTTTCTTCTTCGATTTAAGAACATTGATTCCGGATTTCTTTCCGAGTTTTACCGTTTGCTCCTTCACCGAAATGACATAAACAGTTTTGACGAGCTTCAAGCTCGCCTGAAGAAAGACGAAGAGACCCTTTTAGGTCGCCTGGAGCTGAATGAAAAGGTTTTCGAATCGAAAATTCCCGAAATTTTGACTCATTACCCTACAGTGACTTTGGGGGAAACAGCTTCAACAACTCCGGACCTTTTGACGGATGTTGTCGGAATCAAATGCGAAACTTCGTCTGGCAGCAACTCTATTGAGGAGAACCCCGAATCAGTGGAAGAAGAAATTCAAGAAGTGATAATGGAGGGAACGGAAGACGATGTGGATGGCAAAGATCCAAAAGTTGCTGATGAAGTTGAGTCAAAGACGGAGACTGTTCCAAACGTTGAATCGAAATTCGAAGAAAGTCAGGTAGAAGAACCTGTACAAACTGTCACCACCGATTCGATTGATGCTCAGCCGGACGTAGTTGCGTAGATTTGGCAGTTATGACCAGCAGTACCTGAAGCCTACTCGGACCAACAAGTATCATTCCCAATGCTCAATATTTTACTTTATAAGAGCAGCCAAATCATCTGAGCTCTACAGTTTTTGGACTAGTCTGAAAGACACATTGATGGGACACAAAACGTAGTAATGAAGAGGGTCCATTTTTTAGAATGATTGCACAACTCTTTTTGTACTCTTGCATGCAGCTAATCTTTTTGCCTATTTATATTGCAGCTATCTCTAATCCCGATTTTACCTTTCTATTTGGTTTTCTAACTTTTACCCCACCTTTTATATACAATTATTTTTCTGATTATCTGCTTTTGCATTTTGAAAGCCGTTTTCAGCAGGTTTTATTGTGATTTTTAATTATGACAACAATTTTCCAGTCCAACAAATGTAAACAGAGTTTTCCATGTTAGAGAAATAAAAAGTGTTTTTTGTACTAAGCTACTGCCGCTACTGAATTCTACTGAAGACATCTCTGGGACTTTTCTTCATCTCACTGGATCAATCAGGATGTGGTGTAGGTGCTGTAGTTCGGACGACGAGAGTCCTTTTCCGGTTTACTGTACATGCAACAATGTAGAGTTAGTTTGAGTGCTCTCCTGTTGGAACAAAATTCCCCAAAACTTACCAGAGCAAGTATATCGTCAGTGCGACAAAGACCATGAATGAAGAGCCCAGGCCGATCATGGCGTACATCCAGAAGCTGGTGTTTTCTGTGTACAGCACAAAAAGTGATCCAATTAGTCACTGACAGCAAAAATGTATTCACTAGAGCACACAATGACGGCATCATTTGAACCGTTTGTACCTGGGTAGTACTTGGCAATGCTGGCCGCCGTAAAGGTGACGGGGCTGTTTGTGAGGGTGTCATTGAGGAGGAAAAGTGTTGGCTGATTCGGGGAGATTGCCATGGCTGGTGGTGGTAATTCAGTGCCAATGTAATAATGCCTCTAATCGCCTTACAGTGCCACTTGAGCACGTGCCACTGGAGAGTATCTTGAGCCCTGCTTTCTCTTTTGAGGATAATTAGAAGTTGTAGCCAGAATTTTCTCTGCAATTGACTTGCGAAGGAATACCGCAAAAAAGTAGAATGTCTACATACCAGTGATGATGGTGCGGTAAAACGCCCGTTTTCAGCGCGTTGTCAAGGGCGACAGTGTACAGTACAGTGGCAATTGATGCAGCTGCAGTTTGTGGTTGTGCGCGGGGAAACGTCTTTTTTGTTCCCTTTGTCAGCGTCGACCACTGGAAAGCAAATAGTGCATCTGCTCAAAAAAGAGAAAAAGGGGCTACCGTCTTGTCGGATGTCTTGTGTGCTGAGGTGAGTTGGGTGCAAAGCGAGAGAGAGAGAAGTACTAATTCCCGAGCGATTTAAAGAAAGGGGGCAAAGAGTGCCTGTGTGAAGAGTGGAGGAATTCAGCGTAAACAGAATCGGGTGAGCGAGTGGGCAGAGTGGGCAACGGAATGATCTATATAGGCGAGCTGACCAGAATGTCTGCCTGCGTCGTCACACCGCCAATGCGAGCTCACATTCGAGCCACAGAAGAAGGGAAAGTGGTGCACCAGTGCACCAGCAGTGAAAGCATCCACTCTATTCGCACGCAGCAAAAAAGAGGCAAAACGGTGGAAGCAAGTCAATCAATTGGCGTTTGTTTACTGCCCCTCAGGTACGCTTTATTCGAATGAAAGGAAAGAATGTGGAATACAACAAAATAAAAGATGATATCAGCTAGGGTCAGCTGGTGATGATCAATAAATAAGTAGTAAGACGGTCAAAAAGAGAAAAAATGCAGCGCAACTCTTCAAAGAGAGACTACTCAACGGCGAAACACTTCAAATAGTACCGTCTGCCGAGGAAGAGGACACTGAACAGACAGACGATCTTGACTGCTTCAACGGGCCAAATGAAGAAGAGAAAGACCTCGAGCACGCCCTGAATGGCCATCCTCGCCAGGCAGAGACAGAGGACGATGATGGTGACTAGGGCGACGCCAAAGTAGCCCAGCTGAGCATTCTCATCCTTCGACCGCATGACGGGCAGCAGGCCCAGCGTCGTCACCAGGAGGAGGGAGGTGGCGATGGTGAGGGGGTGGAAGATGGGCAGCAGGTGCCAGTGGAGTGCCTGGTTGACTAGCGGCAGAAGGAGGAGGAAGAGGAGTGCACAGACCGAGGAGAGGGAGACGACCAGCAGCCAGTGGCCGATGAAGGGCGACTCCAGGGGATTGGCTCGGACGCAGCCTTTCCCTGACATCTTCAGTTCTCCCCCTCAAAGCTAATGATGTTGAGAGCTGTACAGTGGCGAATCAACTGTCGACATGAGGTGCAGGGGTGCAACTAGTAGTAGTAGTAGTGGTGGTGGTGGTGGTGGTGACTGTCGCGGTTGTCAGGGATATGCTGTGCAGTGAACGACTCCAGAGAACCATGGTGCTGCTGCTACTGCTGCCTGGGACGATCCAAAGTAGGGCGATGAGATGCAAATAAAGTGAGACAGTTGTTTCACAGTGGTGCAATGCGCACTGTTCGCACTTCAAAAAGCATCAACAACAACACTGGTCAACTTTGGCAGATGGTGATGTTTATGATTACCCAAAAGTGGCCAGGAAAACAGCAGCGGTGGTGATTGCAAGTGATGGCAAGTATGGCAAAGAGGAAGCTAGAGAGGAAGAAGGAGGAGAAGGGAGAGAGAACGGCAATGGCGCAACGGCGACGGCTGCAGCTGCAGCGGCACCGGCACACATTGGCGCAAGTGTGTAAGATGTGCACTGGGCAAAGGCAGTCGGCACTGCCAACATCAGACAGAACAGTTCTCGCGGTGATGACAAGCACTTTTGGTGGTAATATTATTGTAATGATACTACCGGTGAAAGGAGAGAGGAAAAAGGAAACGAATATATCAAAGGTAACGGTAAGGTAGTTCGTTTATTTACAAAAAATGAAATGAAATGCTTTCAGTAAATGTCAACGCAGCTGCCAGTGTGGAGTGAAGTGCACTGCTGCTGCTGCTGACACTCCTTGGGAATATGATTTTATCGCTCCTCACTCAGGCAGATCTCTATGACAGCAGCGATGAACACACTGCCTAAAGCATGTGTGCACTCGTTGATGTATTGCCTAATACAGATGAAATGAAATGGTAGAGTGCAACCGAGTACAGTACAGAGGGAGAGAGTCTCCATCTGCATGATTTCGAACCTCAGTACTGCCCTGATGAGCCGCCATGGCCACTTGATGATCCCTGTCCGTGCATGCTCGGGTGGTGAAAGGGCGAGGCGTAGGGCATCGGACTCATCGGCGGCGCAGGGCTCATCGGAGGGCCCGGTGAGAAGGGCGATCCAGGACTGGGCCCGTAACTGAACGGACTCATCGACGGCGAGGGGGACATGGAGGGCGTCATGTAGGCGGGCGTCATCATTGGCCGACTNTGGACTCATCGGCGGTGCAGGGCTCATCGGAGGGCCCGGTGAGAAGGGCGATCCAGGACTGGGCCCGTAACTGAACGGACTCATCGACGGCGAGGGGGACATGGAGGGCGTCATGTAGGCGGGCGTCATCATTGGCCGACTCATCATGGCGTCGCCCGATGATCCAGCAGTGGAGCTGCTGGCGGTGGATGTGGTTGAAGTGGAGTTGGCTGTGGTGCCGCCGCCACCAGCAGCAGCTGCTGCCTCCTTTTCCTTGTCGGCAGCTNTGGCGTCGCCCGATGATCCAGCAGTGGAGCTGCTGGCGGTGGATGTGGTTGAAGTGGAGTTGGCTGTGGTGCCGCCGCCACCAGCAGCAGCTGCTGCCTCCTTTTCCTTGTCGGCAGCTGCCTTGGCGATACGTTCTTCCAGTTCTTGGAAAATGGTTCTGTGACCGAGACAAAAGAGACGGTGACGCGTTAAATGCAAACAAACGTGTTTTTGTTTTTGTTTGTGTACTCACTTGATTCCCTCCGCTCCCTCTGGGTGATGGGCAATCTGTCCAATTGTCTGCATCAGACTGCTCAGTCGGCTTGGCTCCAAGTGCGGATGCACATGCCAGATGAGCTTGATCAGATGAATAATGGTCGAGCCATGAGCGTGAGCCAGCGGCGGCAGGAAGATCTCATCAAAGACCACCGAACAGAGCTCTTCATTGGAGAACTCCTCTCCCAAGCAGATGAGTCCGTAGACGAGGTAGTGCAGGTACTGGTCCTCAAAGGTGCGGCCATCGTGAGCCGCCGAGAGACAGCCAAAAACGCGAGTCACCGCCTGGCGGTCCTTCTGTCGTGCCACATTGGCGGTGTAGTAGATGGCCAGCACGGCGGCCAGGCGGTCTTCAGCAATGTAAGTGCTAAAGGCGTCGGGCGGTGGACCAGAGTGCTCAATGATGGTCAGCGCCGACTCGCGATCATCAGGCGGCAGACGAGCGTTGACCGAGCGGACCTGAAAAAAATTTCGTACAAAAATTGAAATCAGTTGAATCAGTCATCTCAGCCAAAAAAGACTCACTGAATCATCGACCATAAAGCTCATTAGGATTGGTAAGAACTTGGTGACGATTCCCACGTCCATCGGTGGCTCTTTGAAGTCCTGATCTTTTAAGATGTCATAGGCATTGAGTCCTAAGTTGAGGAGTCGCAGAAGAAAGTGCAACACATTGTGCTCTCGAGGCAGCGCTTCATTGTTGATTTGGTGGTAGAGAATGCGAATAATTTGCGTGGCGATAAAGTTGACCGCATAGGGATCGGCCAGCGCCATGGCCAGGTCTCCGAGCACTCGTTCGTTTCCATTCTTGGTGACACCTTCGAGAAAGCCCTGCAGTTCACGACTTCGCTTTGACTCGATTGCCCGTTCTCTGATGCAGGCATCAAGGCACCAGGCGAACTTGTGGCAAGGATCCATTGA